CATGAAATTTTCGTTTACAATAATCACATATATATTCAGGATTAATATTATGTTTTTTTATATACGCCATTAAATCTCTCCAAATTGGTCTATCTGCTTGTATTTGAAGCTCATGAAGTTGAGATACATTTCTTTTATAACAAAGTCTCTCACACGATACACAAATATATCGAGGTGTATCTATAGAACGTTTAGTTAAAGCTTTAAATGCTTGTTTATATTTAGAAAAGATATCTTCATCGCTCAAAAGAGTATCATCAATCTGTTTATGTCTGTACATCCGGTTTGCTTTTTCTTGTGCCAAAGTTATAATTTCATTTAACGTATCTAAATCAGCAGAAGTTAAAGCCTTTTCTAGATCTAACATCTTGTGATAGAAATTTGTCATTTGATAAATGAAACGTTTAATACGTCTTACCTTTGGAAAATGAGGTGATAATAATAGAATGGAAAGGAACATCGCTTTGCAAGGAATTGTACCATTGTAACAAGAACGCGTATGACCTAATTTTATATTTAATTTATCTTTTACTGTACACGTATGGATTTTTTGTAACAAATCTGGTATTTTCTTGAAAGTACATGTACTTATTACTTGAAGAAATTTGTCATAACGCTCAATTAAAAATGGATTAATTTTACACAAATCATCGTCGCATAACCATGATTTTTTAGCTCGTCCTTCCGTCAAAGGTAATACATTCGTAATTCGACCTTCCGTATTAGCTATTAAAGGTCGTAATGACGAAATGTTACAATATGTAGAATCGATAAAATAATTTTCAGACGAAGCTATATGTTTAGATTTACCACAAAATGCACTTATTTTTTCATCAATTATTTTGCATTTAGAAGCAAGAGTTAAGCATACTTCTGATTTTTTTTTAAGCACAGCTAGAATTTTATATATATCACGGACATAATTGTCTCGAATTTGCATACAACAGCGTACAATTCTTTCGGCTTCTAATCGTTTTTCAACGTGATTTTTAATCTGAAGTTTGTTAAAAATATCTTCAATTGCAACAGGATAACGAAATTGTATGTAATTACGTGACCAAAACTTTTCATATTTTTTAATAATATTTTTGGCGCTAGTGCAATTTTTTTTAACAAGACTGGATTTTAACTTTTTTTTCTCGTAATATCGTTTATTATACAACCACTTACGATCACAATCTATTTGTTTTTGTCTATCTTGTTCGTACTTAAAATTTGTTAAGTAACGCATTTGTTCCTTAGCGCGAATATTTTCTCTATCTCTTTCATATCGCTGTCTTCTTTTCGTGCGCTTATTGTCTATATTCTTTATATATCGCTCTTTTTGTTTCGTGCGATTATTTTCTATATTTTTTTTATATCGCTCAATTTTTTTTGCACGATTATTTTCAATATTTTTTTGGTATTGGCAACGTTTTTTAGCACGATTATTTTCTATATTTTCATGGTATCGGAGACGTCGTTTAGCACGTTTATTTTCTAAACCCTCTTGTTGATATTGATCTTTATTTTTACAATTGTTTGTATTGCTTTGTTCAGTCTCAATATTATTGACTAATACTTCCATAATTTTTTTATCTGAAACGCTATGCATTAATTGTATTTCAAAACATTTATTTTTATTGTTTTGTTCAGTCTGAATATTACTAACTGGTACTTCCATAATTTCCTTCAAAGCGCTGTGCGTTAACTGTATTTGAAAACATTTGTTTTCATTGTTGTGTACAGCTTGAATGTTATTGTCTAGTTCTATAACATCCTTTAAAGCGCTTTGCGTTAACTGTAGTACTTTTTTTGGAACATTTTGTGTTTTCTCTGTCTCGTTTTTAATTTCTTTGTTTGATTTCTGTTGTTCTACCTTACATTGACGCATCGTATATATACGAAATGCTTCAGCTTCTCTTGCTTTTATTACCGCTAATGGAAGTACTTTTTGAGTAATACGACATTGTGAATCTTGAGGAAAATGCTCAATTATGTTAGTTTCTAGAATTTGTATCAAATGTGGACGCATTAACTTATGGTCATACTTGACCTTGTCAGGTTTAATATTAAATAATAATGAAGTCG